ATGTTGTGGGGTTGTTAACCAATGTCATAAAACAATATGTGTACTACTGTTTCATGAGAAACTATTTGTTCTGTAAGCCTTCACCTGAAGTACAATTAAAAAAAAAAAAAAATCCTTGTGTCAGAACCACAAGTGCAAAGCTAAATTTTGAATGACAAGCACACCCACACCCACACCCACACCCACACCCAGTTCAAGTTATGATTGGTGTAAAGCTATATTTTAAATACATTTCAGTTATTTAAAAAAAATGGAAAATTATCAAAACCCTCGGTGCAGAAGAAGAGGAGGAAGATTATAAGTATTTAACTTTTGTTCATTGAAAGACCCAGAGTGAAAGACAAGCCAGGAAACTGGGAGAAGATATGTGTAATGCCTGTGACCAAAGAACTAGTAGGTAATATAGAAAGAGAGTAAACAGTAAAACAGTCAAATAATCCAATAGAAAAATGGACCAAAGGCATGAAAAGGCGATATACAGAAAAGGAAGCCAATGGCCCAGAAACGCGAGAAGATGCACAAAGTTATTAGTAACCAGTGAACTGCATTACTAGCTTCCATTTCATAACTTCCAGAAAGACAAAAATTTTAAAGTCTGCTCGTTTCAAGCCCTGGCAAGAATATGGAGCAACTGATGTTCTCATACTGCTGGTGGGTGTGCACACTGCCACAACCCTTTTGAAAACAATTTGGTATTTTCTAGAAAAGTTGAACGTGATACTCTGTGTATATGTATATTCTTAGGGAAATTTATACACAAGTATGCCAAGAGATGTGTACGAGATATTCATTAGAGCACTGTTTGTAATAACAAAAGGGTGGATAAATACAATGGATAAATAAAGTGCAGTATATTTATACTATGGAATATTGCATGGCAGTGCACATGAATAAACTATGGGTACCAACATCGCAACATAACTGAATAAAAGAAGAGCAAGTCACAGAAAAATGCGTATATTATGATTTCATTTATACAAAGATTAAATAGAGGCAAACTAAGCAGTATATCATTTAGGGATACCTATAGATTAGGGAAGGAGCCCTGGTGGCGCAGTGGTTAAGCACTTGGCTGCTAACTGAAAGGTTGGCAGTTTAACCCCACCAGCCACTCCGCAGAAGAAAGATGTGACAGCCTGCTTCCATAAAGATTACAGCCTTGGAAACCCTACGGGGCAGTTCTACTGTGTCCTATAGGGTCGCTATGAGTTGGAATCATCTCGATGGCAATGAGTTTGGTTTTATAGATGATGGAGGCCCTTAGGTGGTGCAAATGGTGTGCGCTCAACTACTAACGTAAAGGTTGGTAGTCTGAACCCACCCAGTGGTGATGTGGAAGAAAGGCCTGGCAATCTGCTTCTGTAAAGATCAGAAAACCATATGGAGCACAGGTCTACTCTGTAACACATGGGGTCACCATGAGCAGGAATTGACAGCATCAGGCTTGGTTGGTTGGTGTTTTCTTAAATAGACGATGGGGCAGTGGTAGTTCAGTGGTAGAATTCTCGCTCCCTATATGGGAGACCTGAGTTTGATTCT